AAGGGAACACACCTGCTGAGTGACCTGCTGATCTCTCTTAGCTTACCATCAATGCCAGCCAAAATCACAGGGCTTCTTCCTTTGCCTCCCTTCCCCCTCTCACCTGCTCTCACTGCTCTGGGCTTATATCGCCTAAATAAGGCATTAACACTTAATCCTTGTCTCAGGCTCTGCTTTCTAGAGAAATAGGGCTTAGGTGCCACCCTCCCAACAAATGATCCTCTTTCTTTAGAAATGAAAGACACAGATAAATGAAACTATCCCTTCAAGATCCCAATGGTCAAATATATCCTAAACAATAGCTAAAAAGTCGGTATCTCTCCAAAAAGAGGACCTGAATCCCCATGATGCTATCGCTATTAAGTGACTAAATGCACCTATCTGGCCTTCCAGTTACAAATAGAACAAAACAACTTTGTTTCTGTATTTCTTGAAATGCAGTTCTCTGTTATACAAATAAGAGGTCCCCCTTAACACTAGCTTAGGTGCCTGAACAGGATGGCTAATGATGATAGCCCGACATCCAGAAACTAAACACAACCCTAATTTTTGAGAATAGAGTCAACTTTAGGTGGAACAGAGCACTTTCCAAGACAGTGTAGTGCAAGCAATTTCCTGATAGCAGAACCCCTGGGGTTCCTGGGGCCTCAGCTCAGGACTGCCCTGCATGACAAAACACCCTGGAGAGCCATTAACCATGGGGAGATAGGGTAGATGAAGGCTTCCCAAAGTCATGTAAAGCATGCTCTGATGGCCTTGCTGAGTTTATATGAAATTAACAGCATCACTGCATTAACTTACCCACCGAAATTTCCTGTTAGCCATCTGGTCCAACACCATTTATTAAATAATCTGTGCCTTCCCCAAGGATTTAAAATATTCACCCCTACCCTCCACCATAAATATGATCTGTATTTCAGTCTGTCTTGACAATCTTTTCTCCTTTGCCTTTCATGACACTGTCTGCTCTAGGATGCCTCACAGCTCTGACAACTCTTTCAAAGCCTCCTCTGCAGGTCCCTTAAGTGTGGTTCTGCAGGGCTCTCTACTCCATGCCTGCCCTGGGTGGTCTCCTGCATTCTCGTGACTTCATTTCTCTGCTAATGAAATGCAAATTCTGGGCCACCCGTGCCTGTGCAGGTCGTTCACCACACAATGGGGCCAGGCTAAGAGGCAAATGGGGAAGAAACCCATCCTCCTCTCTGCCCGCAGCCACACGGCTCCCCAGAGTCCTGTCTCTGGCCCAGACACCCCCTGAGTCACAGACCTATCCATCCAACATAGGCTGGCCATCTCTCCCTGTATGCTCCTCAGGGAACTGTACACCAACATGGATTTACGTCCTTTCTTCCAAACCTGTTCCTCGCTCGTTCCCTGTTCTCACTGCACTGCTCCAGCACACAAGGCAGAAAATGTGGAGGAAGCTGAGAGGTTCCTCTTTGCAGGACCTGCCACATCCCATCTGACAGATCCTACCTCCTCCCCTCCCGCCACAGCTGCAGACTCGGCCCTGACCTCATTACTTCTCCTCCTATCGGGTCTGCCAGGTCCCTGCTCACCATCACATCACCCTTCACTCTGCTGCACGAACAACCTTGCCACAACATTCCGATGATGTTAAGCCACCACTCGGAAACCTTCCATCACTTTCCAGGCCCACAGGGTAAAGTCCCAAATCCTCAAAGGGCCCTATGGGGTCTTTGGCAGCTCAGACTGAGTCCCTCTGTCTCTCTGCTCCTCACCCAGGCCAGGCACAGCAGCCTGTCCCCTGCTGCCCGGCTTCTGCTCGTGCTGCCACCGCAGCGGGGAAGACTGAGATGAGGGCTCCCTCTTCAAAGATTCGTCTGCTGCCCAGATAGAGCTGACGACCCCCTTCCTCGAGCCCCTAGATTTCCACGCTGACAGCCACAACACGTGCTGGTGTCTGCGCTTCTCTGCCTGCACTAGAGTCGCAGTGGCTGAAGGCGGAGACGGCCTCTGGTTCGGTTTTGTGTCCCTAGCGCTGTGAGCATCCCCATGCAGAAAATCCTAAAAGGGTTTGAAACTAAGCAGATTAGCCAGAGCAAGGGGATACAAATGTAAATTGAGCTGTCACCTCGTTGTATCTGTACATGGTATAAAAGCGGGGGGCAGAGTGCCTAGTGTGCCCCAGGACCCTCTGCCAAAGAAACGATGGGGGATTAAAGGAGACTAGAACAGTTTGGAAGAAAGGGAGAAATGGCCCGTGGCAGCTTAGAGCCAGGCTCTGCGTCCTGGGCAGTGGTGCGCAGCTCTGGCCCAAGTCACACGGTGGGAGAGGTTCAAGAGTTGGGGCCCAGAGGTGGATGCAGCTGGCCCAGTTGAAAGGAGACACGAATGCCTCCAGGAGTCAGGAGGTCAGATAAGCATCTGCATGCGGCTGTTCTGATAAGAACTTTCCCGCAGAAAGGCAGTCAGTCTGATTCAAAAATTTAAAAAGCAGCCCAGCAGCCAAACATAATAGGTCTGAAGAGATCCCAGAGGAGAATCAGAAAGACAGCTGGGCTGCCAAGTCCCTTTAAAGAGCAAAATTCTTCCTGTGATATTTAGGTCCACACGATCCTTCCCAGCATGACTATCTTTGCTGTCAATGTCAAGAAGGACTTTCCCAACCCCAACTCTTTCCTCATGCTCCCTGTCTCAGCTGAAGGGCACCTCCTCCTCCAGGAAGCCTCCCCTGACCTCCCAGGGTCTCCCTGGGACATGCTCTCAAAACACCCTGCCTGGACTTCTCTCCTTCACAGCCCTGCTCAAGACTGTCATCAAACACGGATTCATTTAAAGTCTGCTTCCACTCTAAGGCGGCAAGCACTTGAGAGCCGAGGCCGCTTCTTTTTTTTATTACTATATCCCCAGCATCCAACACTCTGCCTGGAACAGATCTGAGGCCCAGTAAATGTTCGTTAAACAAATAATTCAATCAACCAAACAGATAAAAAATGAATTAAACAATGAATTAATAAAGCTGGCACGTGTCTAGAACGCAAGACTGAGAGCCAGGACTGCAGTGAGCACATGGGAGAAGGTGGGGAAGGCTGGGCAGGGGATGGCAGACAGCCTGGAGTGGCGATGGCAGCCATCATGGCCCGTGGGCCAACCCCGGGCCACTCTGTTATCATACAGCCGGGAACTCCTTAACTAAGACCCTTAGTCTTTGACATCCGTAAATGGTTGAAAAAAGAAGCCAGAGTTACCTGAAATTCACGTTTCAGTGTCCATAAATAAAGTTGTATTGGAACACAGCTGCACCTGTTGGTTTATTATTGTCTACAGCTGCTTTTGTGTGATAGTAGTAGCGCTGAGTAGCTTTGACTGAGATCCCATGAGCCTCAAAGCTTAAAATATTTACTATTTGGCCCTATACAGACAAAATCTGCTGACCCCTGGCCTGTGTCTCAGGACCCACAAGACAGGGCTGACCCACGGCACGTGCTAACATCTGGGCTTCAGGAAAAAAGTTTTCTGATGTCTGGTAATGTAAAATGGGACTTAAATATTCCCTTAAAAAAGGGGGAACTAGTTAAATTAAGGAGAGCATACACTAGCAATGGACTGTTCTATGGCTGTTTTGGAAAAATGAGTTAGACTTTTGAAAGCCACTTTTACCTCATGTCCCTTTGCTCCAGAGTGACTCACTCAGGACATGAAGCCAAATTCTTAACGATCTCAGCATCATGTGGACCAGTTCCTGCATTTTGCAGATGGGGCACTGCACATAAACACAGTTTCCTCTGAAACTTCAAACTCTGATAACAGCACAAAGCTGCTCGTGTGTTTATTTTGAGGAAGCTTATGATTAGAAAGGTCAGAAACAGTGCTACTTCCTTTTTCCTAGAAACCCCGGTTACCTTGTCAACAAGAACAACCCCTCGAGCCCGCAGAAGGCCAGGTTGCCAGGGAGTATAAACAAACCCAACGCCCCGAGTGGCAGCTGTCAGCTGCTTTCTCTGCGGCTCTGGTCTAAACAGCAGCTGGCTCTCCTGTCACCAGGTCCCCTCCGAGTGCAGGTTCACAAACATCACTCATGTCAACAGTGCCATCCGGTGGAAAGGTGGCCATCAGTCAGGTGGGCACAGGCGAGGGAAGTGAGGCATCAACAGGTGCATCTGGGAAGGACTTGGTGTTCTGCCCGGGCACACACCTTTGTGAGGCCCACCAAGTCTAACTTTCTGTGTTTTCCTCTCTTGTGGCAATTTCCCTGGGGAGTCTTGGAGGTCAAGAGACAGAGCTGCTGGCTGGGTTTGCTCTGCCCAGCCCAGGACCACAGCCTGCACCTTGTATAAATCCTGCCTCTCCTCCTTCTATAACCCTTCTCTGGCCTTCTTGCAGGTCACTCTGCAGCCTACCTGCTGGGATCCTGGCGTCGCTGTGAAGGCCCAGGAAGCCCACAATAATTGCAGGCAAGGAGGTACGAGCCTAACTCAACTCAGAAATGCACAGAGAACTCCTGTTACAGGTTAGAATAAATCATGAAGGAGCCCCAGCATGTCCCAAAGAACATTCTAAGAAATGCCAGCCAGTGAGATACTTCAGGGAAGAGAGAGTGATGCTGTGGTGAAGTTAGGAAATCCTCACTGTCGTTAAGTCCTCCTCAGGTAGCCACTAGTGCATTCCAGGTTCCAAGAGATCGCGTAGTAGCTTAACCTGTTTAACTTGACTTAAACCAGCTGTGTGCTGTAGACCCCTCTGAGATCCCAGTTTGGAAAACACAGCCCCAGACCATGATGCTGAGTTCCACAAAGATGCCAGGTGGTCGTGGGGTTCCAAGGATGACCCTGACCTTGAAGGGCACCCTTCCCCACCCAGGCGCGGCCCCCTCCCACCCAGCCCCACGGGGAAGACAAGATCTCGCTGCAGGTAGACTTCAGAAGGAAAAGGCTAAAACCCAGGAGGTGGAGGAGGGAGGGGAGAAACGCCCCCCACTCTCCACCCCTGACAGGACCCATGGCCTGGCGCAGGACGCTCCCCGGAGCGGGACTCACCGTTGGTGGCCGTGTTGACATAGTAGCGCCGGCCCTGGGGGGACAAGTAGCTCTGCCAGCCCGGTGGAAGGACGAAGGTCTGGCTTTCCTCTCCCGGCGGAGGGGGGACCATTCCAGGCTTCTGTGGAGGAGGAACGGAAAGGTCACACACATGTGGCATTTTTTGCAGCTGTCTTTCAATCAGGAAGTCAGAGGCAGATAAAGGCTCCTTGGGGTGTCTCGACGTTGGAGGGCGTGTGGCCCACAGGCCTCCCTAGGGGAGGTCACCGTCCACGTGTGTGTTTCGGGGGTTGCCTGAGCAGGAGGAGCCCTTGATTTTCAGAACCACCGGAGAAGGGACAGCTCCCCCCAGAGGACAGGGGAGATGCCAGTCAATTAGCAGAGCTGAGCTTTCTCCTCCTGGCCGCTAGAAACCCACTTACTGGGCTCCCACTGCGGAATCTGAAAATCCCCAGGACCACCGAATTCAGCAGCAGACGAGCCCCAGGGCCTGGAGTGGGAACCCCCCAGAAGTAATTAACGCAAGTTGCAGCGGACTTCCATAACAAGTCCGGGAACTGATGAAGGGCTGGGTGGGTTTTTCCTAATCTAGTGTCCAAATCACTCTGGCAAGGAGAACTGGGAGTCTGAGTGGAAAGAGGCTTCCTTTCCACTGTATGCACTTGTGTACGGTTTAATTCTTTTAACCATGCACAGTAGTACTTTTCTTTAAAACAAAATGAGAGAAAAATATGTAACACAGAAACGAGATGCAGATACAAAGGCTGAAACAGAGACAATTCCTGGTGGTGGGATGACAGGGAATTTGCAGTCTCTTCTTTTTGCTTCTCTCTTCCACCTAAATTTCCTTCAATAAACACAGAAATAAAAGTTGTTAGCTAAAGAACATTTAAAGATAAGGAAAGAGGGTCCAAATGAGCCCATTCAATTGCTGTTCCTTGCGAATAAAGAAAACTGACTAAAATCAGAATTCCAGCCACACGAGAAGTGCTGTCAATTTCTCAACAAAGACGGACTAATAATAAAAAATATTAAAGCTAATCAGCTCTTCCCAAGCAACCTCAGCATTCCCCAGCCAGGCCCGCAGAGGCGGTTTCCAGTCACTAAGGACCCCTACTTAGGAAAATAAGAGAGTGAAAGCCAGCAGTAGAGACGCGCAGCTCCCAGACTGCTCTCTGCTTTCAGAAGCTGTGAAACCACATGCGTCTGCTCCCTGTGGTGCCCTGCACGCCTTCAGTGGGATCAGATCAGTCCTAGCTGCTCCTGGGACTCAAGTAAACACAGCCTCCCCGTGGCCCTCTGCATAGTCACGGTGCGTGTTTCATTACGAATTTTCACAATTTAATTAAAAGCCCTCCCCTATGCCCCAAATGCTTTTGTCTCCCACACACCTGTCAACCCGCAGTGCCTCTCTGATTCCGTGTGAACGACTGGCTTCTAAAGACGGCAGCCAGGAGGCCTCCTCACCAGCAGGGCACATTCACCAAGCCCAAGCACACACCTGAGCGTGTTTACCTGGGCGTCTAGACACTGTTCTCGCCTCTCCCGATCGGCAGGTGGTCAAAATACATGCAAGACCAATAGCCCCACGATGAGCACAGGGCTTGTACATATAAAATATCCCACATGCAGGAGGTGGACCTTTCGGGTGAATGGAGTTGGGCGTAAAGTAGGAACAGGGAGGTCATAGGGCTTGGCTGGAGAGAAGAAGTCTAGAACCAGGTTGCTTCTGCTTGAGTTCAGGTAACTTATAATCTAAGGAGAGAAGGCCAGATTGGTGCTTGTCTAAATAACCTGGTAAGAAATGAGAACTTGTTAAGGGGTGTTAACCAAGGGTCAGAGATAGACATGGCCAGAAATAGGTGGCTGAGGAGAGAGGGACCCAGCAGCACAGTGAACCAGCCCTGTGGCCTCAGGCTCACTTAATCCTGACGCAACCATGTAGCCGCCACGTGACCCGGGGAAATGACTCGCCCCACCTGCCTATTGCCACATCTGTGAAATACAGGATGATGGTAGTAGTCCAGCTGTAGAAGATGCCATGGAGGTTAATAACCAACTGGGGACCTAAGGCAGTGACTGTCACCATCGTACTCAAAAAAATGGGGGTCCCAGCCAAAAGGGGACCGTTTGATGCCAAGCTTCACACAGCCTCTGCCTCCTGTGATGGGAAGTTCAGGGGCACACACCCAGCCTCCACCCAACTCTCACCGCAGCTGAAACATCACCATTCACAGTTACTTCCCTGAGGTGTCTGTTTCCAGGACTACTCAACTTAAAAGGCAAACACACACCCACCGGGGAGGCTGACGGGCTAAGGCGCTGACTCACACGCTCTGGTGAGACCTCTTCTTAGCTTGGCTGGTGGACGGAACCTGTCTGACTCTCTGGGTCCCACCTGCGAAATCGATCAATGAAATCCGTCCCATCTCCACAGCTGGGTGGTACTTTTTTCTTTAGAATGACTCTAGTTAATTTACTTAATTCTGTAGGGTCAGAAGCAGCCCTGCTTTCCAACTACAGACACTGATGACCAAGGAGGGGCCATGACTGCTCCGAGGTGTCCCCCATCTAGGAAACGCAGGACCTTCAGAAGGTACCTGGAGGAGGCATCTCTGATGCCGAGCCAAGGAGGGCCAAGAGGTGCTGACAGAGAGAGGGAGCACCAGGGCCAACTCAGCCAATTTCCTAATGTGGCCAATGTGGCAAAGATGGTCCCCAAATCCTCTCTAGCAAGGTCCCTGCTCTGCCTGCCATCTGTGCTCTGCCACCACCCTCCAAGGCCGCCACAGTCCCCTTGTCTTCTCCCCTCTCCCAGATAGAAGTTATTCCTGTTGGCTGGCCTGAGATAAGTCAGGGGTCAAAGACATGGAGACAACTGGGTACATCCCAAGAGAACTGGAAATGGAGCTCAAACACTACACTTACACACACATGTTCACAGCAGCATTATCCACAATCACCAACAGGCAGAAGCAACCCAAGTGTCCATCAGCTGATGAACAGACCAAGCGAATGTGGTGTATCCTTAAAAAGGAATATTCAGTCAGCAAAAGGAATGAAGGGCTGATACGCCCGAACCCACGGATGAACGGTGAAGTCACACTAAGTGAAATAAACTAGACACGAAACCCCAGATACTGTGTGATCCCATTGACATGAAATGCCCAGAACAGGAAAATCCAGAGACAGAAAGCAGATCAGTGGTCTCCAGGGAATGAGGGAGGGGGAAGATGGGTACAGGGTTTCGTTCTTGGGATGATGAAAACATTCTGGAACTAGATGGTGGTGATGGCTGCACAAAACTGTGAATGTATACAGGTCACGGACGGTAAATTTTATGTTACGTGTATTTTACCACACACACAGTTGGCTTCCCCACCTGCAGGCCCTCATCCAAGAGGCCCAAATGGTTACCTCACTTGTCATGGCCGTGGACGGGCAGGCCTCGTGGGAGAGCTGCCCCACAGCCGTCAAGGGGATTCAGCTGAGTGACTACCTGGTAATTAAGGTCTCTGCCAAACCTATTCTTCTAATTACTTTTCTTCCAAGTTCCTTCCAAGTCAAATCCTCCCCTTCCCTTCCCTAGTCCTGTGGCTTCTCCCCTTCCATTCTGACATCTCTTTCCCATGGGAATAGGAACTAGACGCAGTGGTGAGGCTGGCCCAGGGACTGGGGGCCCCGCGTACAAGGAACAAGATCAGAAGGAGTGGGAGTCGAGGGAGATGAAGACAGTTTACTCCAACTCAGAAATTCTTAACCTAATGCCCAGGACGGCTGTGCGGGAATTAGAAAACGCTGTCTCTTCCTCCAGATAGGCCAGCCCCCTGAGTGCAAGGCTGGGTTTCAGCCTCCTTGACTCCCTAGTCTGGGCCCCCTTGTTCAGTAAACAACCTGCTCAACTGCACATGACAGCCCATCCTCTGGGAATCGGAAGAAAATGATGGAGCTTCTGCCCCAGCAAATGAAGGCAGGTGAACACGTACTCACCCTATTTCCTATGGAATAGCAAGAGTCTCTAGATCACTCCAGAACTCCAGTCTCAGGTAATCAAGAAACATCTGAGCACAGATCCCATGTGTGGCCATGACAGTGATACTCACCGCTCACCAAATGTTACAGCGCACAAGGACTGGGCCAGGTGCTTTACATACTTATCTCTGATCTTCACCACAAGCCTACCACACAAATACCATTTTTCTTTCCCGTTTTAGAGTGAGGAATCTGAGACTCAGAGTTTAATATCTCACCCAGTGCTGCACAGCTAATTAAATGGTAAAATCAAACATGAAAATACTAGCTTTGTCCTAGAGACTTCTGTCCAGTCATCCAAATCCTGGCTACCCTCAGCCTGTCTCTCCCCAGCTGTCCATGAGCAGCTCCATGTCTTCACCTGGACCACCTGACGTCCCAGCTCCCACCGAAGGAGGATGGCAACTCATTCTCCTGCCTGTCTCGTGGTCTCCAAATGAGCATATGCCTTCCCAGGAGACGGGCAGAAATATCACCACCCACATCCAGGCAGTCACGTTCCCCGGCTGTGGGTTGACTTCCTTGTCTCCTTACTTAAAACAACACAACTGAAGGAATTTTCCTCTTAATGATGGCTACTGATTTCCCCCGTGTGGGGGTGGGTAGAGCAGGCAAACAAAGGGAAGCCACTCAGAGATTAGAAGCAAATCCCCCTACAGCAATGTTTCTCAGAGTGTGGTCCCTGGGACACCCAGTCTGTCCCCTGGGATGTGGGTTAAAGTGCAGATTCCAGAGCCCTGACTCACACATCAAATCAACCTGTGTCTGGGACGCCTGCTGCCTTTTAACAGGCATCCCAGGTGCGTCTATGCTCAGTGAACTCAGAAGAGACTGGTCCGCGGCTTCAGAGGGGAGCCACTGAGAGAAAACATCACTTCTGACACCAGACCTGTGAACAGGGAAGTAATGATTTACAAAAGGACAGTGTATGGCTGCACGGCTACTTATTAAAGAAAAGGCTCTAGCCCGTAGCCCAGACCCTTCAGATAGACTATTTTAAGAGAGACTTGATCTTGTGTCTGCAGCCCTCAGGCAGCAGCAACCCCACACTCCGCTCCCCACAGCCTCCACCACAATTCAAGTTCAATC